AAACCTCCCTTACAATGTTAATACCAGAACTTCTATGGCAGGTTTTTTTTTTTTAACTGTCTTGCTAACTTTAAAGAAAAGAAACTCATAGATTAAGCAAATGATCTAATTAAGTCTCACAGGGATTTTTTTTAGTAGCACCTCATTGCCATAACTACCATTTTACATCATCAAAGGAATACATGACAAGTTCTTAGTAATCAGAGAGATAATTAATGGTGGCATTTCTTTGTATCTAGCAATAGGAATAAATAAAAGTTTGATTTTTTTTTAATTGCCTTTGGCCCTTTGTTGGGTCATGGTCATAGAAAAGTGTGACTGAAACCTTTAATTAACCTTTCTCTAATTCAGCATTTCAAATTTAGCATCATTAAAAGTATAAGAGCTGGCAAAACGGATTATACATTGAACTGGAGAAGTACCCTAAATATGCGAGGATTAATGTTTGAGTAAATGATGCTGTTACCACATTTCATTCCATCTTGGTTGATTATAGCAAAGCTTAAGTTGTGACCCACTTGGTCTGGTACAGATTCTGCCTTAGAAGTGACTTTTTCGGGTGGATAATCTCTACCATGATCTTTTCATCTGACACTGGTGGCCTGTAATATATGGATAATAATGACAGCACAATTGACAGAAGAGAAATAATAATAATAATAATAATAATAATAATAATAATAATAATAATAATAATAATATATTATTTATACCCCGCCCATCTGGCTAGGTTTCCCCAGCCATTCTGTGAGGCTTCCAACAAAAGATTAAAAATACATTAAAACATCAGTCATTAAAAACTTCCCTAAATAGGGCTGCTTTCAGATGTCTTCTAAACATTGTTTATTTCTTTGACATCTGATAGGAGGGCGTTCAACAGGGCGGGTGCCACTACTGAGAAGGCCCTCTGCCTGGTTCCCTGTAACTTGGCTTCTTGCAGTGAGGGAACTGGACATCAGTGCCCGGGCGGAACGATTGGGGGTGGAAATGCTCCTTCAGGTATACTGGACTGAGGCCATTTAGGGCTTTAAAGGTCAGCACCAACACATTGAATTGTGCTTGGAAACCTACTGGGAGCCAATGAAGGTCTTTCAAAACCGGTGTTATGTGGTCTTGGCAGCTGCTCCCAGTCACCAGTCTAGCTGCTTAATTCTGGATTAGTTGTAGCTTCCAGGTCACCTTCAAAGGTAGCCCCACAAAGGGCGCATTGCAGTAGTCCAAGTGGGAGATAACCAGAGCATGCACCACTCTGGCGAGACAGTCTGCGGGCAGGTAGGGTCTCAGCCTACGTACCAGATGGAGCTGGCCTGGACACAGAATTGATCTGTGCCTCCATGGACAGCTGTGAGTCCAAAATGACCCCCAGGCTGTGCACCTGGTCCTTCAGGGGTACAGTTGCCCCATTCAGGACCAGGGAGTCCTCCACACTTGCCTGCCTCCTGTCCCTCCAAAACAGTATTTCTGTCTTGTTGGGATTCAACTTCAATCTGTTAGTAGGGGAATGGGGTGGGGTTTTTTTATTTAAAAAACTATGTTCTTCAACCATTCCCAAAATTGGTCTCTTTGCCCCCAAACCTGCAATCCTAACCCCCCCCCCTACAATGGGGTTTTATGGAGTGGCAGTCTGGGCCTGGGTGGGGGCAGTCTGGGTCTCATGCCTCCTAGAAATTACTCAGGATCTACTGAATCCCGGGCCAGCTCAGCCTCAGAATGGACACACACACACACACACACGAATGGCCAGACCTGTCCTGCTCACAAAGTATTCTTAAGCAGACATAAAGCATCACACATGCATTGCTAAACTAGTATGGGGCTACCTTTGAAGGTGACCCGGGAACTACAACTAATCCAGAATGCAGCAGCTAGACTGGTGACTGGGAGCGGCCGCCAATACCATATAACACCGGTCTTGAAAGACCTACACTGGCTCCCAGTACGTTTCCGAGCACAATTCAAAGTGTTGGTGCTGACCTTTAAAGCCCTAAACAGCCTCGATCCAGTATACCTGAAGCCATCCTGGTTTCTGATTTGATCCTGAAGGAGCGTCTCCACCTCCATCGTTCTGGCCGGACACTGAGTTCCAGCGCTGAGGGCCTTCTGGTGGTTCCCTCACTGTGAGAAGCCAAGTTACAGGGAACCAGGCAGAGGGCCTTCTCGGTAGTGGCGCCCACCCTGTGGAACGCCCTCCCACCAGATGTCAAAGAGAAAAATAACTACCAAACTTTTAGAAGACATCTAAAGGCAGCCCTGTTTAGGGAAGCTTTTAATGTTTAATAGGTTATCGTATTTTAGTGTTTTGTTAGAAGCCGCCCAGAGCGGCTAGGGAAACCCAGCCAGATGGACGGGTTATAAATAATAAATTATTATTATTATTATTATTACTATGGAATGCATATATATGCATATATGATGAGAACATGAAACATTCCCCAGGTTTGATGCAAGTCTCTTTGGCAATTGTAGGTCTCATCCTCAAGTGATGCAAATTCATTTCGAACATATTACCCTTGTGGCGAGGAGAATTTGGCCACATGCCAGCCCTCAATCAGGTATCTAGGAAAAGCAAGAAATAAACGTTATCCTTGCCACGCAGGGGAGAAAGTACAGATAACCAGCTCCAAAAGGGATTGTATTTCAACACCACTTTAGTAACTAACCACTTGGCAAATGGTCAGCTGTACTCAGCCATGGGGAAATAAAATGTATACCTTATGGAAGCAAGGAAACATGATGGATTCAAAGGTCACACAGGATATATTTCCATCATACGCTGTGGTAAAAACTGAGGTACATCGGACATACCCCATAATTGCCATCTAGTCACATTTTCTCTATGTCGTTTGTCACATTGTGACAGTAAAAGAGAAACTAGTGGGGAAGGAGTTATTTTTAATGCATGTCTCATTACCAAGTGGTGGTTTTTTTTTTTTTAAAGAAAGGCTTCTCCCATAATTTTTTTTTTCTTTTTAAAGAAACGCTGAAATAATTTCTAAATAAAAAAAAGACAAAACCAAAATAGAAACTTACTTAATTTCCTCCGAAAGTGCTGTGACTTCTGATCAGGGTTTTATTTTATTTTAAAGAATGACTATCCTGAAATGCATCCCATGAGGGAAACATAAGAAGTTGTGTGAGTGATGTGATTAACTGTGGCACTTCACTGCATTATGGCAGTAGCAATGAACAGGAAGGTGTCGTGGAGTTTAATTGTTAAAGCTGCCATCTCCCTTGCCCCTTTGCTCCACCATGACTCTTGTAATCATGCTGGGAAACTTCCATTAACCTTCCACTATTTGAGTCAGTCTTTTTGAGTTAATACCATCAAAACAAAATACATTGGCTGGCTGGTGTAACGCCGTGCTGATTGTGTGTGTTGTTTTTAGGGTTTGATTTACTTATTTATTTATTTTCATTTTGTGTGTGCAAAAGACGCTGTTTTAAAGAGGTCTAAGCTCCTGCCAAAGCCAAGCCAACCCCTCCTTGAAAATTACATTTAATGCCAAACAATGCATGCCTTGCCCTCTTTCATATTGGGGTGGTTCTTACAGATTGTGCTGAAAATGTATTTGTGATTTATTTATTATTATTTTTAAGATTTATCTGTCACCCAGCTCACCATATCATCTGGGCAGTTTGCAATTTAACAGAACGCCATCAACAAACAATTAAATTAGTAAATACAAAAGCTATACCGGCAGAACACTTGCAGAAAGTCATATGGAGATGCATAAAATCACAGACACTTCAAGAATTTTCCAGGGACAGTCCCAGATTTACAGAAGCCATCCTGGTTTCTGATTTGATCCCGGAATGTCCTGCTTATCCGGCCCCCGAGCCATCTGAAGGCAACCCTTTATAGAAAAGTTTTTTTAACGTTTAATGTTCTATTATGTTTCTATGTATGTTGGAAGCTGCCCAGAGTGGCTGGGGCAACCCTGTCAGATGGCTTGAGTATTCTTATTCTTATTCTTCTTCTTATTATTATTATCATTATTATTAAATAGGATGTCCCTATTTTCATCAGAGAAATGTTGGAGGGTATGAAATCAACCTTTAAAAAGCACTAAAATGTGACGGGAGAAAATGATGGCAGTTCTAAGAATGAAACCATTAAGTTTAATAACAGGCCTAGGACAGCACTGGGAACCCAGTTAGGCCCACTGAGCCTCCCCAAAGTCAGGTAAGATAGTTGGTGGAAAAACCAAACAACCACCTCACCTGATGTCATGAGACATCAGGTGCTGGACTGGTGAAGCCACAGCAGCAAATTGCAAATGATGAATCAGAATGAATGAATCCACGATTGAATAAGGAGATGGGATCGGTAGTTCTTCAGTTGTGTCTTTTCAGTTTCTGACTTTGGTATCAATGTGATAGAGCGCTTCCTTCCACGAATCCGGTGCCCTCTTCCTCCATAATTTCATTGCTAACCTCCATCAAGGGTTGTATCAAATAGTCTTTTAGTGTCTTATAATACTTGGAGGTCAGCCCGTCTGGCCCTGGAGATTTGCCAAGTTGCATGTTCTGAATAGCTTGTTCAATCTCCTGTCGTGTTATTTTAGAGTTCAGGGTTGTCCTATTTTCTTGTGACAGTTTAGATAATCCATTTTTGCCAAAAATTGTTTAATCTCGACTTCGTCTTGCGGCCCTTGGGTATATAATTTTTAAAATATCTCTGGAAACACTTTCTAATGTCCACTGGATTCTGAATGTTTCTTCCATCGACCTCTAAATTTGTAACCGTATTTAATCTTTGTCTTCTCTTCAACTGCCAAGATAGCAGTTTTCCACATTTATTCGCCGACTCAAACGTTTTTTGTTTCATTAATTTAATCTTCCATTCAATTTCCTGATTTATCAATTTAGAATATTGTGTTTGATACAGTTTAATTTCTCTCAGAGTTGGCTGTGACTTTGGATTCACTCTTAATTTCTTCTCTAATTCTTTTATTTTATCCAAAATCTTGTCTTTTTTCTCATTTTGTGTTTTTTTCTTTACTACATTCTGTTGTATCAGGAATCCCCTCATGACAGCTTTGCTTGCGTCCCAGACGATTCTTTTTCCACCGAATTGTTCATGTTTATCTCGAAATAGTCTTTCAAAACTTTTTGGGCCTTCTTGGTAATTTCCTGATCTCTAAACAAATTGTCATTCATCTTCCATCTAAAGGATCCAGTTGGTAGTAGTGTCATATCCATCTTTACTGCGTTGTGGTCAGAGCAGGTCTTTGGGCAGATTTCCACTTTTCTAACCCTAGGTGCCAGGCCTCTAGAGATCCATATTTGGTCGATTCTTGTCCAGGTCAGTTGGGCTTCAGAAAAGAATGTTCCTTCTCTACCTAGTGGGTTCTTTGTTCTCCAAATGTCGATCAAGTCCATATTGTCAGTCATTTCAAAAAAGGTTTAGGTAGTCTGCCATCTTTTGTGACATTTTGACTTTGCGACTTGTCCATGTTAGTTGACACGACCCCGTTCATGTCTCCCATCATTATGATGTTGTTGTAATCCAGATGATCCAGCATTGTCCCCTGCAACTTCTTGTAAAATTCCGATTTCCCTTCATTGGGCGCATAGATTCCTAATATCAGCAGTTTCTCTCCTTGATATTGTATCTCAATAGCCAAAATCCTTCCATGTTCATCTTTAAATAGAAATTTAGGTGACAGGCTCTCTTTTGCATATATCACCACTCCTCTCTTCTTCACTTTGTCCGACGAAATAAATTCCTGGCCCAATCTTTTATTTATTAACACTTTTCTGTGGAGCCTCGTCACATGTGTTTCTTGTAAACAAATAATGTCCAATTGTTCTTTTTTAATATATGAAATATTTTCTTCCTTTTCTCCGGAATATTACAACCATTAATATTCCAGCTCAACAGTTGCAGAGACATCCTGGATCTGTCTGGTTATTTCTCCCGGGGTGGTGTCTTCTCTGGGTCTTCAAGTTCCCCAGGTGGAGGTATTGATGCTGGCTTTGCCCCAGGCCCGGAAGGTAGTTCAATTCCTTTATGTAGGTCCTCTCCGTATGTAGCCAGAAATTTATCTCTCTCTTCCAATGTTCTAATTTTAACCTTTCTCGCTCTAAAGGTAAAAGATAATCCTTGGGGAAATTCCCACCTGAATGGAATTGCGTTGCTCCTTAATAGTTTAGCAAGTTCAGAGTAGGCGGCTCTAAGGTCCAACAGTTGTCTTGGGATATCTTTATATATCTCAATTCTTCTATCCAAAACCTCCAGTGACTTTTCGTAATGTAGACCCAAAATCTTATCCCTTTCCTCCTTCGATCTCAATGTAATCAAACAATCCCTGGGCCTCTCCTTCTTTATAAATCTTCCAAGTCTGAAAGCTGACACAATTTTAAAGTCCTTTTCTTCCAAATTCCAGAACTTGGAAAGTTCTTTGGTCAAAAACTCAGTTAGATTTCCTTCTTCTGCCTCTTGTAATGATCTAATCCTCAAATTATTCTCACGATTTCGCAGTTCTATCATAGAAAGATAAGTCTGATGTTCCCCAACTTGTTTAGTGAGTGGTCTTACCTCTTGCTCTAAATTTTCCAATTTTTGTCTGGTATCCTCAGCCAATTTTCGGTTTTCTACTGAGGCCTCCGTCAACTGTCCAATTGCTTGTGTATTCTGTCCCACCTGTGTAGTTAATTTGTTTAGACAATCTGTATTTTTATCAATCTTTGCTGATTGCGCATCTACTTTCTTGTCCAAAGCTTCCAATTTTTCAAAGATTTTTCTAGCACAGAAACAGATGCTCCTGAGGCCATATCTTCCAATTGTAACTGCTCTGCTTCACCCTCTCCCTCTTTTGCCTGTGGCAAGACAGCTTCTTCAAGTTGTACTTCTGAGGGCAAAGTAGGCACAGATGATCTACGTGTCTGCGAGGCTGAGGTTAGAGTTGTTAGAGTTGTTTGTCTAACTCTTCCTCTTCTTCTTGTACCACTCATTCCAATGTTATCTATCAGTCAAGGTCACACTGAGTTTTTCCCACAGGAATAGAAAGGCCCAGAGCAAGCAAACAACAAGGGAATCGAAAGTAAATGTATTTGTAAAGTCACTGTTTTAATCCAATCCTCTAGAGGGAGCTTAAGATGTCTTTCAGAGTCTGATTTAATGTCCCAGAACCTTCCAATATAAGTATTAAGCAGAGTTTAAAAGTAATCACTTTGTTGCAGACAGTGCTTATTTGTCTCCAAAAAGAATGTTTCAAATTTAAAAGGTCTCAATACCCTCAGATTGTTGCAACTTCTAATATACAGTATCCAAATCAACACTGGCAGCTCGCTCTTACAGTGCTCAAGCAATCCTGACTCTGGGTTTCACCTTCCAATTTGTAATCCAATAAAAGGGGGAAAGTCAAGTGCAAATAAAAGATCCAAATCTTTAACTTGCTAGTTTTACTTTAAATTGTAAGTTCCATAGATGCTTGGCTGTGTAGAGTTTAAAATCTCTTTCTTTCAGCCTCCACTCCTCCGCCTTAGTTGCTTTTTTTTCAAGTTCAATGGCAGCGGAAGACGGACTTCCTGTTTCCACGTCTCTCCGCTTTCAGCCAAATTCAAGCCAAGTTAAACCTTCTCATTTAAAATTTGTAATTCCAAGTGATTCAGTCTTTACTCACGAATAAGTTGTTTTCTTCCAGGTCCGAATTTTAACAGGAAAAGGGATCAGCGCTCACCGGCAGCAGCAGCGCGGCTTCACTCCGCTGACTGTGAAACGGCTCACAGCGCCGCAACCCCCCTCCACGCTCCGGAGCCCCTTACGAGGCTCCTTCTGCAGTTGGAGGGCTGCTCTTGGCGCCCGCCGAGCCTCAGGACCCCAGGCTCTTGCTGCCTGGGGTTTTCCTCGTTGGGTCTCCGCTTCGCCGTAGCGGACGACCCGATTTCAGCGGAGCTTCTTCTCCCATCGGGAGAAGACCGCCATTACCGTTCGCGCCGCCCCCCTTTGTTATTTATTTCGGTCCTGGAAGTGCTATTGAACATGATTAGAGGGGACCAGTTGGTGGAAGGAATTCAGGTTGGTCAGAAACAATATAAACTAAAAGCTTTTGCAGATGACCTGGTTTTGACCTTGCAGAAGCCAGAGCCTAGTACGAAAAGAGTATTACAATTGATTAATGACTTTGGTCGGGTGGCGGGATTTAAATTAAATAAACAGAAAACCAAGGTTTTGGGGAAAAATTTGACTGAGACAGAGTCAGAACGGTTTCAGAATGAGACGGAACTTAATGTGGTTAAAAAGTAAAATACCTAGGGGTAAACATAACAGCAAAAATCTAAGTCTATTTAAGGATAATTATGAAAAATGTTGGACAGAAATTAAGAGAGACTTAGACAGTTGGTCAAAATTGAAACTTTCTTTGTTAGGCCGAATTGCTGCGATTAAGATGAATGTATTGCCAAGAATGTTGTTTTTATTTCAAACACTTCAGGTTTTGGACAAAATGGAGTGCTTTCAGAAGTGGCAGAGAGACATTTCGAAGTTTGTCTGGCAGGGCAAAAGCCCAGAATTAAGTTTAAGATACTAACTGATGCAAAACAAAGAGGGGCTTTGCCCTGCCGGACTTAAAGTTGTATTACGAAGCCGCAGCGTTCTGCTGGCTGAAAGATTGGCTACTTCTTGAAGACACTGATGTGTTGGATTTGGAGGGTTTAACAATGTTTTTGGATGGCATGCATATTTATGGTATGACAAAGTTAAAGCAAATAAGGCCTTTAAGAACCATATTGTTAGAAAATCACTGTTTAATGTCTGGACAAAATATAAAGACTTGCTGGAAAATAAAACACCAAGGTGGCTTTCACCTTTGGAAGCTAAGGCCCGAAAAGACCCAATATGGAGGCCAAATGGCCAAAATATTGGGAAATACTAGAAAAGATGGAGACAATTGGAAATTGCAGAGTTTGGAGAAAATGAAAGACAAAGTGCGAGATTGGTTACACTATGCTCAGATTAAAGAAGTTTTTAAAAATGATAAGAAACTAGGGTTCCAGGTGGAGAAATCGAAATTAGAAACAGAATTGTTAGAACCAAAGATTAAGATACTTTCAAGGATGTATAACTTGCTGTTGGAATGGAATACACAAGATGAAATGGTTAAATCGGCTATGATAAGGTGGGCACAGGATATTGGGCATAATATTATGTTTGAGGACTGGGAAAGGCTGTGGAGTAATGGATTGAAATTTACTGCATGTAATGCTTTGAAAGAAAATGTAATGAAAATGATTTATAGATGGTATATGACCCCAGTCAAACTCGCAAAAATTTACCACCTGTCTGATAACAAGTGCTGGAAATGTAAAGAGTGTGAAGGAACGTTCTTTCACCTCTGGTGGACCTGCCCTAAAGTGAAGGCGTTCTGGGAAATGATTTATAATGAACTGAAAAAGGTATTTAAATATACTTTCACTAAGAAACCAGAGGCTTTCCTTTTGGGTATTGTCAGCCAAGGGGTGGCAAAGAAGGACCAGACATTTTTATGTATGCAACAACAGCAGCAAGGATACTACTCGCAAAACATTGGAAAACTCAAGATCTACCCACACTGGAAGAATGGCAGATGCAACTGATAGACTATATGCAACTGGCTGAAATGACTGGCAGAATCCGTGACCTGGGAGAAGAGAGAATCGAGGAGGATTGGAAGAAATTTAAGAACTATCTACAAAAACATTGTGATTTGACTGAATGCTGAATAAGATGCTAGACTAAATAACTGAGCACCACTTAACTTAGAAGTTTTTAAGAAAATAAGAAAAACTGTGAAAGTTTAACTCTTTATGAGAACTCTAAGATTATGAAATATCGAAGAGATATAAGAACTTAAATAAGATGATAAATTGCTGACAAAATGTTATAATGATGAAGGTGGGAGCGGGAGATGTGAGGAAGTCCAAAGAAAATGTGAAATTATGTTAAGACGAATGTTATATTGTTTATTACATTTATTCTTATTGTAAAATCCAATAAATTGCTTTAAAAAAAAAAATGAATTTGGAAAGACCTGGTGGTTCATAAACAGTTAGGACTGCTTCCGAAAGCTACAGATTCAAGCTGAATCTTGTGACTGGTGCATGCCTTAATATTTGCTGTCTCTTTGAATGTGGAAGTGCCACTTGGAATGAGGGAATCAACAGTGGTGTCCAACCTCCTCCCTTCTCTTTGCAAGTGTTGTACTAAGAGGAGGATAAGGGTACTTGAGGAATTTTATCTCTGTGAGTTTTGATATGGTGCACCTTCTGAGCTAATGAGAGGAGTGGCGCTTAGAGATCCACCAACTGTTTCGCGTCCCAAATGTTCCAATTCTGTTTTGGGAACCGATGTTTAAAAATGCATAAATATGTTCAGAAATGAATATTTTGAAAGAAACCATATTTTAAGATACTTTTTGTGCAAATCTTCATATGCTTAAAAAAAAAAGAAAGAGTCACCAGTTCAGTTTCTGTGGAGATAGAAGAGAATTATATGTGAACAAATAAGAAAGTGACACAGACTCAGAAATGGACTGATTTGTCCATCCCTTGAGAGGGAGGAGCACAACAGATTGTGCAAGAGGTCGTCTCCTTCAAAAGAGATGTGCTTGCAGACTAAAATGGTAAGGGCAAACAATTGTGCAAAATAGGGAGCCCTTGCTACCGGTGCAGGTTGGAAGTTAGGCAGGTGCTGTGTCTTTCTGCTCCCTTGGTGCATCTTAGGGGTGTGAGTTATTAATTACATTGTGACCTTCTACCTGTGTAGTGCCTTCTTCTCTGGTTGGCCATGAAAATGGAACGCTTGTCACTTAATAGGGCTCCTATCTGAACCATAAAGAACAACATTGCATCTGTAGCAAGCAATTAATGGCTCGCTCCAGTATGCAAGCAAGGCATAATTGTAACCCACAGATAACCTCTTTCCTCCTTTCTCTCTTACCATTTCAATTTGAATCTAATTGTAGCAAAAGATGCTGACCTGCAGCTGTGCTCCCTCCCCTCCCCCAGCTATAGCAAGAATCCGCAGGAAAGAGAACAGGTGATGCTCACTCGAAGGGGATAATTGAGGCGCAAGTGTCTGCCCCAAACCCCTATGTCACTTCTGAGAAGTAACGCATGACCCTGACATCTCTAAGTGAACAAGAAAAATGGATCAGAAATTGTGAACTTAAGTTAAAGTTTCATAGCAACCATTGTATCAGGAAATGAGAGATGTTGATCAACTGAGCCAATACCATTTTAAAGTTCTGGAAGCAGCCTTTCCGGTTATGCTAAATAATTCCCTAGAGTTAGATGTATGGAACAAAATAAATGTGAGTACAAATACATAAAGAAATAATTATCTTCATTATATTGCAAATATCATTTTGTGTGTGTGTGTATATATATATTTACACACACACACACACACACACACACACATTATAAATACTATTTGTAATATTATCAATATCCCGCTTTTCCATTATGGAATGTCAAAGGTAGCTAACGAAAAGTTACAATGAACATGAATATTAAATCATTAAAGCAACAACGATACAATAATCAAGTAAGAGCAGATAAAGCAAACAATAACCAATTAAAATATTTAAAATGCAGGTGAAGAAGAATTTAAATAAACTCATGAGGCCAAAAACCTGTTTGAATTAAAAAAAAAGTTTTTGCCTGCCAGGGGGGAAAATAAACAAGGTGGCTGGTGGGCTTTCCTTGGAAGGAAGTTCCAGAGCAGGCTAAGCAGAAGAAGACCTCTTGAGTTTCCACTAAATGCACATGGTATTTTGTGGGAGAAAAATGAGGGCCTTATTGGAATATCTCAACTGGGACAGGTTTACATGGGAGAAGTCCATTCTGAATGGTTCTGGGTGTACCTCTCCTCTAGCAACTATTTGAAGTAAAGAGATTCATTTCCTGAACAAGCTCTGAAGGCCTGGGTAGAAGAAGCAGCTTCCTGCAGGTTGTGATGGAGAGCCTGGTTTGAACGCTACCTCATCCTGCTTTCCAGCTCAACACTGTGACCAGATGCAACTTCATGGTTTTGGCATCAGTCAACTCCCCTATTGTTCTGTTTACCATCCAGCCTGGCAAATGGGAACCTCCAGGCCCATGGGTCCAGATAAGGCCTGGCGAGGACTCTTTCTCAGCAAGCAGTGGACCACACCTGCCATCTTATGTGGAGGAGGTAAAGATGCAGCTACAAAGGAACATTCTGGAGCCCTAAAGTACTCTTCTGATTGCAACCATCCACCATCTCCTAGCTGTGCTCACCTTATAACCAAGATGAAAGCCAGTGGTAAGTTGAAAGGTTGTGTAACATGCCTGTTACTGGGATAGCTTCACTGGCATGGCCATACTAAAATAAATAAGTCAAAGTTTACTTGCATTTTCTTTAGCACAAGTCACAATTGCATGACAGGGAGCCTTTGCTACGAATTCCATGACTTTGGGGGATTAAAACAAACCTTTAACATTTCTGTTTGCATTTTCACAGTGCCCATGGGTGACCTTGCCACCAGCAGTATGTCTTACTTGTGGTGCCACCATTTTTGTTGTTGTTCATTTTCTGATATCTTGGTTTCGTTTTCACACCCTGTCCTTGACTCCATGTTCCTGAAGGCCCGTCTTGAAAAATCTGCTTCTGGCACAGCAAGATTTCTTCATCTATGAGGTCACGTTTCAGGCTTTTGTTCAGTCACAAGTTCTGCTTGGATTTATCTTCTGCATGTCTACTTGAATATTCAGAAAGTCATCAGCTAGTCTGATTTGTTTCCCCCCCCTAAGTCATGCAAAAGACTGATTTGCTTTG